TTTAAAATTATAGAACAAAAGTAAAAAATAATCCTATTAAAAGACCGAAACAACAAAAAAAAAAAAATGTATGGCTACAATACAAGTAGCCGAATGCTTTTGTCAGCTAAACCATAAAGATGGTCTCCACTTAACTCCATAAAGCACTCCCTTATATTGAAGTTATCATATATTTATTAATTTCAAAAGTCATTAAACTTTTACATATAGAGATAGAAGGGTTTAAATGCAAATTTAAAAATGTTTGGGAACGTAAAAATACATCTTAATCTTCATATATGAGAGGATAAGATTAAGAACATGACTATAACTATCGAAATGTTGAAAGTATGTAACAACCAATATTAACGTATTATTTTACGTGTTTTTTTTTTTTTAAGGTTAGAATTTAATTTATTGTTTTACATATATTTATTTCGTAAAATATTGATTTTTACATAGTGAAATTTAAAATATTGATTTCTTCAATGTAAATAAAAAATGCTTGCTGACGATGTGAACACAAACATATATAAAAGAGTAAAATACGATTTTCCGTCCTTGTGATTTGAGAAAGACTGCTATTTTCGTCTATATGGTTTGGAAATTGTGATTTTCATCTAAATGATTTATAATTTATAGTTGTTTTCGTCTCCGAGACTAAATATATTAAAATCTTCCATTAACTTAGGAGTATTTTAGTTTTTTGTATTTTTTTTTGTTATTTTTATTTTATAAAACTATATAATTTTTTTTATTAAAAACTATATTATTTTGTTATTGTTTATGATAAAATAATTAAATATTTTTAATACAATTAGGGGCCGTTTACCAAACACTTACCCGATAAATGTTTACGGTTAAAATCTAACACTATTATTTACTTATCGGGTAAGATCTTAGTCCACCAAAACGACATCGTATGCAACAATTTACCCGGTAAGCGCTTACCATGGTAAGAGTCGTCGCCCACACTTACCGGGTAAAATTCTTGGTACTTACCATATTCATCCAGTAAGGTAACGTGACTTGATAAACGCATACCTGGATAAGCGTTTGGTAAACAGCCCCTTAGTTTATTATTATTATTTTTGGTCTAGTTTTAGATTCTTATGGAAGAAAGAAGAAATAAAAATTATCACGTAAATGGTAGTTAACGATTTGTACTTGAATGACTAATAAGAAACTACAACTATAATGACAAAAAAATATTAAAAATGAAATGAATGAAAAATATTTAATTATCTTATCATAAACATTAACAGAACATATCATTTTTCATGTATTATCTTTTTATAAAAAAAATATAATTTTATTAAAATGAAAAAAAACTAAAATACTAAAAAAATATTTAATAGAACAAAAGGAAAAAAAATAAAAAGACTAAATCCCTAAGTTAAATAAAAGATTTCTAATAGATTTAGTTTTAAGGATGAAATAATGAATTATAAACTATAAAGACAGACATAACAATAACTTACAAATCAATAGAATTAAAAAAAAAAATTCAAAATTACTAAGATGGTCTTTCACAAATCACACAAATAAACATCTAATTTATTTTGTATGAAACAATATCATAAATCATAATATCTTATTAAAAATATTTTAAAACTGCTTTTTTTAATATACGTACGGTTTCCATTAAATTATGTGGGGTAAGAAAGAGAGGAACAGGGATATGTGGATGAAAGGGTCATTGACGCATGTGAGACTGTAGGATATGTTTGAATAAAGATTAAAGTGTAAGGAATCTTATTCTTTATGAAATGGTACAACAAATCATTTGACTAATTATAACCTAAAATAGAATAAAAATAAGCAAGCTTAAATATAATATATATATATATATATATATATATATATATATATATGGTCTATAAACATTTTTTAGCTAAATAATTAATAAACTAATAAAAATTGGAAAGACTCATATGTCTAATCTCAAATCTTTATATTAATATACTAACATTTGTTATTGTTCACTTATGCTTCTTTTGTCTTTTAAAATTAAAAACAACTTTTGTTTATAAGCGAGTACATATTTTAAAATACCTAATAAACGGCTCTTTCTTTTATCTTTATCTTTCAAGAACGATGATGTTACTTTTTGGTGTCACCTTTTTTACTATAATTTCTAACAAGATCTTCTCATTGTCTTCCTCATCTTGGTAGTTCTTAAAAACTCATATAAAAGTTCAAAATAGTAATTCTTATAAAAATCTCTTTTTTATAAGTTTTATACATTTTTTTGATATTTTGATTAGCATTATATGTATAATATTAATAATTATAAAATCAATATAATTATATATATATATATATATATATATATATGGTTGGGTTCACGTGAGACCAATGATTTTTTGTGAGACTCGTAAGACCAATTTATGTTTATTGATCAACTTTATAAGCTAATGATTTAATGGTTTAAGGTTGCACGATGACAATTTTGTGATTATTGAGAAGTCTCGTAACAATTTTGTGATTATGAATGTTCAGATTGTAAATCTAATCTAAGGGTTGAGAATCGGTCTTATGGGTCTCACGAAAAACCTTTGGTCTCATATGATTCCAAGTCTCCTCTCTCTCTCTCTCTATATATATATATACATATATATATATATATACATATATATATATATATACACACACACACACATATATAAACAATAGGAAATTATCACTTTACACAAAACTTTAAGATAAAAATCAAAGTTCTTGTTCAAGAACTCAAAAGAGTCAGGTTCTTATAAGAATTTTCCATAATAAGAGTTCTAAAACATTTTAATTATGAAATTAATTTTTTTTATTGAGCTTGTCTTCAAAGGTCAAAAGTGTCTGGAGATCCCAGGTTCAAATCCAAGAAGGAATAAAAATTCTCTTATGGCCACGAAGGTTTAAATGCGGTGACTTCAGACTATCTACAAAGCAGGTGATTACATTGAGATTAGTAAGCTTACATAACGAGTTGGATATCCAGATTAATAAAAAAAATCTCTTTATTAAAATTAAAAATATAATGGTTGAATTTTTTTATGTAATGAACAGAGTAAAAAAAAGTATTGTATATTTAATGATATAAATATTAAATCTGTACAATAATAATATTTGTTTAAAGTTTACTGCAACAGGCTGTGGTTGAATCAATAGTCTTTATTTGCGGGGCCCAGTTAGCCAGTAGGTGGGTCCGGCATCAAGGGACTTGACGAATGTGGCTCTGCTCTGCTCCAACATTGCAGTAAATTGTAAATCCCCATAATAAATGCAAAGACCCCATTTCCTATGACACCCATAATGATAATATAATCATTAATGTGTGGTGGAGCATTCAATCAACACACATCTTCCTCTGCCCATTAACCATCACACCGCATACTCCATCAAGATTCGCTCATAGAATCAACTCATATGCCTTCCTACCTAATTACTAATTTACAATTTACTATTCATTTCACCTTATTAGATTATATTTGGTAAGTTAATTATAACTTAATTGATACTTATAAGTTAACTGTTAATTTATAAGTTAATTGATAGCTGATGAACAAATCACGTTATAAAACTAATTGATAAAAATATAAAATGACCAAAAAAATATATTAAAAAATCAATCAATTATAATATCTTAAAATATGATTGAAACAAATTTATAATAATATAATATATTAACTATATATTAAATGACTTCACTTACCGATAGCCTATGAGTTAACTTGATTGACAATAAATCTTGAGTTTTTACGGATTTTTTTTACAGGTCATCATTTCGAGTCATACAAGGTCACTGTAAAATTTTTAGCTGTTTCTCAAAATCCATGTGACTAGTCGAGGTGCACACAACTTAACCCTGACATCTGCGGTTAACAAAAAAAAGAGCCTAGGTGTTTGGCGCTAAATTGCTAGGAACGCTATGTTGAAATTGGGTTGATGAATCCCGAGGCTAGCCTAAATCGGGTGTGAGTTGTGGAGGCCACTCAGACTCTCGTACTACAACTCGCACTCTCATATTAGTTGAAGCTCAAAGAAGATAGTCATTTCAAGGCGTTTTTGACTAACACCAAGGTATCATGGAGACATAGGCTTAAGAATGGGACAAATACACCATCTTGTGGCACAAGCTAGTATCTCCAAAATAGATATCACTTTGAGGAGTAACATACTTAATTGACATATAGCTCAATCGTCATTTTTCTACTAGTTTAGTCACCGACATTGTAACAGGTGATAACACATACCTTCGTCTTGTTTCATTAATGGAATTGTGACTCCACAGCAACTGATACATATCATTTTATTTATACTCTATAATTTCAAGTATTGTTTGAGAAAAAATAAGCTAACTTATTGAAGCGCTAGGTTATTGTCACTTTTTCTAATTATCATCTCATTAATATTAATTATATTTATTATTATTGAGTATAAACAAATATTAATAAATTTTAAATTTTACTAATGATTAATAAGTTAATCTCTTAATAGTTCTGTTAAGATGCAACATCTAAATTGGTAAGAGGTGATTCTTGTTTGGTAAAAAAAAGTATATCTCTTAATGGTTCTAAAACCCTTTGAATTATTTTGTATCATGAGTCTCCCTTAACTATTCAACTTTCTAATTTCATTGTAAATAATTACACTTCATTTTACAATATATCATGAGAGTCTTACCCGTAATCATTCTGACTATTTACTAATTTTATACCAAATCATTCGACAACTTTCAACATACAACGGCTTCTAAGCTAGTTAGTCTTATTGGATGGTATGTATCAAGTTAAGCTCTATGTAATTGTGCTCCTGTAACCGACCTAGGCTTAACACTTGCCACGTGTTTTGGCTGTCACCTTCCTTCTTCAGCTTCGTCTTATCCTACCCACGTTGACCTGTTTACCCTTAATTACGCATCGCACGTGAGGGTCATATCCGTAATTTCCTGTCTCCACCATTACCCCTATATCAACCCTTCCCATCCTCACTCTTCACACTCACTCTAAACTTGCTATTCTCACTTCCAACACCGCACATACATACACGTCATTTCAGACATCAAAGCTAGCTAAAACAAGTATATAATTGAGTAGGAAAGAGCTAGCTAGGGAGTGAAATGGGTACCTTCTTGTGGTGGATTACAGCTGTTTTGGTATTCGCCGTCGGTGTGACGGTGAATGCTTGCGCGCCGCATGATATGGAAGCGTTGCTGGCCTTCAAAGCTGCTTTAAACGAGCCTTATTTGGGCATCTTCAACTCGTGGACCGGTAACGATTGTTGTAGTAACTGGTACGGCATTACTTGTGACCCGACTACGAAACGGGTTGCGGATATAGCCCTCCGTGGAGAGTCCGAAGACCCGATTTTCCAGAAGGCTAAGCGTACGGGGTACATGACCGGTTCCATCTCTCCAGCTATATGCAAGTTGGAGAGGCTATCCAATGTCATTCTTGCCGATTGGAAGGGCATTTCTGGTATTATACCTCCCTGCATAACCTCTCTGCCTTTCCTCCGTCACATAGATCTCGTCGGAAACCAAATCTCCGGTGGTATCCCTTTTGATATCGGCAAGCTTAGCCTCCTGACGGTTTTGAACCTGGCAGACAACAAAATTACTGGAACGATCCCGAGGTCGCTCGCAAATATATCTACATTGATGCATTTGGATCTCCGAAACAACATGATCTCGGGAATTATACCACAAAACTTTGGTAGGCTTCGCATGCTAAGTCGTCTTCTGCTGAGCGGCAACCGCATTTCCGGACTGATTCCGAACACTGTTCCTCACATGTATCGCCTGTCCGATCTCGATCTCTCGTTAAATCAGATCTCCGGACCGATTCCTGAATCACTTGGAAAAATGGCGGTGCTGGCGACGTTGAACCTAGACGGAAACATGATTTCCGGTAAATTACCGGCAACATTGATAAATTCTGGCATTAGCATTCTGAACCTTAGCAAAAACGCTATCGAAGGCAGCATCCCGGACGTGTTTGGGCCTAGATCTTACTTCATGATGATGGATTTATCATATAACAAACTGACAGGTCCGATTCCAAAGTCGATATCGTCGGCATCATATGTCGGACATCTTGATCTGAGCCATAATCATCTTTGTGGAGCGATTCCGGCCGGTTCGTGGTTCGAACACCTTGAAGCATCGTCGTTTACTTACAATGACTGTCTGTGTGGAAAGCCTCTTCAAGCTTGTTAATTATAGTTATATGTTAATTAGTCGCCGGTCGGCGCCGTTCTAAGGATAAACATAGTAACGGAAATCTGTTTCAGTTTCCGATTCCAGTTCGGCAAGTTTGAGCAGTTGGTTTTTACCGTGTGATTTCACTCGTAATGGTGTGTTAGTAAGTGCTAATTTCCGGTCACTGGAGTTTCATAAAAAAAAAAGGAAAAAGAAAAACTATATTTCGAGAATTTATATGGTGAGATGTTCATGGTATATTTAGTACACCGCTTTCTGTAATCGCTACAACTAAAATCTCTGTATTTTAGTTTTATGTATTTTTTCATATGAAAAATAAGTAATTGTGTTAGCAAACAAAAGAATGGAAGTTATGATGAGAACGATAAGAATGAAGCTTCATCTTTGAGACTTTAAATCACTCTTAATCGAAGATCAACGGTAATTAGATGTACTGGATCAATTATTGTATCAAGCACAATTCATAGGCAGGAGGTGAGATTAAAAATGATCAAGGGTTCTGATCTTTTTTTATGTTTCTCAACATAACTTTTTTTTTTCTTACACGATCCTCCATCACGAAACTAGTTTTAAGTGCAATTGGTAACTAAAAAAAGCAATCAAAAGACCCAATAAAATTCCGTATATTTATACCTAAATGACAAAAATATCCTTTATTTTATACTCATTTGTTTGAGGTTAAACTAGAAAAAGATGTGTTCTAAATACAATTCATATACTCGTATATTCCACCGTCCTAAAATAAATGTCTGCTATGAAAAGGACACATATTTTTATAAATATATAATTGTTATACTTTTAATTAATAAATGAACAATTTTTTCCTTAATTATATGGATAGAGAAATTTCCTACGTCTAATAATTAAGAGTAAAATAAGAAAATGACCATTTATTTTAAAAAATAAACACTTATTTTAGGACAAACTAAAATAGTATGAAGTATTTATTTTCAAGTCATCATCTTCTTTACCTGATTGGAGACCCACATTGTCGGGCTTCTAAATCGAAGCAAAAAAACGTAGCAAAGTTGTTGAGAGAAAAATAGAAAAAGACATTGTTGGCGTGGAAATCATGTTTGAATTTGCAAGAACGTATCATTTGTTAGCAAATGCTTTTAAGTGAATTGTTTGAATAGTTTCGGGTTTAGGCCACTAACTTAAACCACCATTGTAACAATCTATAGCTGAAGGACTAAAGCCATTGATGGCTTTATAGATGGACTAAAGACCGGGATGTGGTCGATTGCATTTTTGTAGTGAATTACGAGTTACAATATTGTTTAATTTGATATTATTAAGATATATTTTGAGCATTTCATGAATATTTATAATCATTAAATAATAAAACTGATAACATATTAAATAATTTATCTTAAAAACAAACAAAATACACCATAAATGTAAATATTTCCAATTAAAAAAGGCAGTCATATTCTTGATAAATAATTAAAGGAAAAGGTCCAGTTGATTCTGAATTAAGCTGCGTTGTTCTTTTTTCATAACAGACAGAGCATGTTTTTCAAAACCATTTGCCAGTTTATACCAACAAATCAAAGTGGCGCAGCGGAAGCGTGGTGGGCCCATAACCCACAGGTCCCAGGATCGAAACCTGGCTTTGATACAAAGAAAAAAGTTTTATTAAACTGCACTCTTTTTTGCTGCTTGGACTTTCTCCCTCAATTATGCATAGACTGCATTTTACTACCTCAAGACTCTTGTATTTGCCTTGTTTTTATTACTTCGTCCGATGAGGTAATGTGATTTGGTAAGCGTTTGTGTAACATGAAATCTATTCTCCATCGTTACAGAAATGAAACATGAAGATCGCTCCCACTACATCTTCTGGGTTTCCTTCTTCGTTTCCACCCTCATCTGTTCTTCATCTTCTGGGTTTCCTTCTAGTTCAAACCCTTCTGGTTCAAACCTTCGGACCAACGTTTTCCCCGAGTTTCCTTCTTGTTCAAACCCTCACTCCCCTTTAGGGTTCAAGTTTTACTTTTTGATTTAGGGTTCGAATTTAGTTTTTAATTTTGATTTTATCGATTGGTTTCCTATTTTGGGTTTTGTATTGAGTATGATTTCTTTTTTGGTTTGCTTTTGATCTATAGATTGTTTTGGTTACAGAGGGAACAATTGATGTGTTTAGTGGTTGAATTGGTGGAATTGTATGTTCAATGTAAAACAAAGGGTAAAATAGTCGTTTTCACCATTCAGACTTATTATTCAACAACAACTTATCAAATATCATACATACAGATTTATCAATTCAGACAACTTTATCCATACATCATTCAATGAAAAACGAACCTAACAACCCCTTAGTTTTCAATCATGATTGATCCAAAGGTGAAAATCTCTTCCTACCATTTCGAACACCAATTTCATCCGGATTTCTCACCAATCCATCGTCAATTTCATTGCCATTAGACCCTACTCAAATGAATCATATATGAATATGAAAACGAAAAATTAAACACTATTTAATAATATATAACGATTGTGATAATAAAAACACAAGCATTGTCTATAAATAAATGCATAGTGTACACTCTTTAGGAATGAAGTTTGAAATAAACTGCATACTGTTCATCTCTCAAACTAAACAATGGCTGCAGAACAAAATTCATGTTCAACCCTTTCGCCACAAAGCTAATTGGATGGTATTGGCTGATTCCATTGTTCGCTTTGAAACTGGTTGATGTCATGAACCCGGAATCCGATCCACCGGAATCACAGCTCAGTTTTACCGATCCATCAGAACTATACACAAAGCAACCCTTCTGGCTTTCCGACTCTAATCTAACCGTTCCTTCATTGCCATCCACTAATCGGAATAAAGAATTCTTGGGATCGAGGGAATCACTGATTCCAATCCTTATTTCTTTTCCCAGAGCTACAAGCGACATGCCGGGGAGGTTGTACGGCTCTAGCTTGATGGTCTTACCGATAGCATCTTTATATGACGATATACCAGCTGAAGTTGAGGAGTCTGCTAAGATGATTCTAAATGTCGAGAAAACAGAATCGCTAGTTCCAGGGTTCGAGAACTTTGCCATTGTGACGATCGTGTTTGTGTGCGAGAGAGCAAAGGTTGAGTTCCCGGTTTCTTGAGAAAGTGAAATTAGATGGGAATTGTAATCCGATGGAATTGGAGTGATCCAGTTGGAAAGAGAACCTGATTCTGCTTTTAGGTCGCAATCACCGGTGGTCAGGCCAACGAGCAAATAGGGACCATATAAGATTGCATGAAGAGAAGCGTAATCGGATCGGTCATCTGGAAAAATAACATTTCCCAAAGACTAATGAGCAAAAACTACATACAAAAATGACAAGAGCCCGTAAGAGGCAAGAATGGTACCTTGAATGGCCTCCATTCTAAGAGTTATCGGCATTTCAAGGATAATAATGTCCGACGAGCTCCATTTTTTTGTGACCGATAGGAAATTACCTACATCAAGAGAATATATGAAGCTTCTTGACTTAAAGAACCAACCCAAACGAACCCAATATATCCCACTTGTGGTGGGGCCTGGGAAGGGTAAGATGTATGCAGACCTTATCTTTACCAAAAATAGTAGAGTGGTTGTTTCTGTAACTTCAAGAAAGAACTTTCCTTTTAAATATTTAATCTTGATTCAAAGATTCATACCTGCAGATGTTATAGGAATACCCTGACCATTAAGTGTTGCTTTTGCATTTGATGTTGTCCAAAATGGTATTCTAAAATTCAACGTAGACGATGACCCTTCCTGCAATAACGGGAGTCGTGTTTTCCATATAAACAAGCAACCAAAAATGAAGAATCGACAATTTGGC